AAACCAGTGCTGGTCGCAGCTTGTCTCTCCGCAGCTCCCCAACCATGGGTATGCTTATAGGAGAGCGGGGTGTCCCGCGTCAGCTACTGAGACCAGTGTCGGCAACAGCCCTTTTCTCGGCAGCTCTTGGGCGGAATGCTGTCCGCAGCCCATCCCACAGCAGTTCCCTTGTCGCGGGTGCACTGGGGGAGCGGGGCAGACCGGAGATGGCAGCGCCGGCGCGCAGTGAGCCGCCTCCTCCCTGTTCCGCCCCGGGCAGAGGGGGCGGCCCGGCCCGCTCTTACCAGACGCACCCGGCGGGGTCTGAGTCTGCAGCCTGGGACCGGCAGCCGGGACACCCCATGACGCGCCCCGGCGGCTGTGTAACCAAGTCAGATAACTTTGACTTACGACACATCCAAAAGGCAACTTTTGGCGCCTCGCACTACTGGTCTTCGGGGATGCAGTGTTTCGCAGTGAAGAAAATGCTCGCAGTTTTCAGAATACCAGATCGGACCACCTGACGAAACTGATCATTGTCTAATGCCTTTATAGCTGCTAGATGGTTCACAGGGACGTCAGAAAGAGAGGAAATGGTGACTCTCTTAACTGATGTGTCTATAGCTGTCCTTCGCTGAGTTCCTTCGAAAGTCCGGGAATGTTTGCCGGTTACTTAGAGCCACTGGCCAGCTCAACGCCGTGTCCCGATTCAAAACGAATATGGCGGCCCTGGAGGAATAAAACCGAGTCCATCGAACCCAATCGAAACCACCGGCAAACTGACCTTTACTCAAGGCAAGCAGCTCTTCTGCGCTTCAGGAGGCAGAGGTAGTTATATTAGAACTCAGCTCAGGTACCGGGTGGAGCTGCATTATTGGGAGTCGTATGTAAACCCACGTTGCATGCACATAGCACAAGTAAGAGTCCTGTAATTAATTCGGCCATAGAAGTGAGAGACCGAGTCATACTCAGTTGCTGGGCAACGCTGAGCTGATGACCATTTGCCATTCGGGAAGATAAATCAAAGTCAGTATGCCGGCAGTACTAAAGTTATTAATTAACATCAGTGAAGACACGATGCAAATTAAAGAGCCTAATGTGCAGAGACTCATTCACCTTGATCTTATGTCCGGTAAGAAAGCCTTTAATCGGTAACATCATATAGTAGGTATATACCTACCTCAAAGATAGTAGGCTGGTATACCTATCTTGTTCATTCATTTCATTTTCAGCTCGGCTGAAAAGCCACGAATTGTGTGGATGCCGTTGTACCTTCATATAAATGCTGTAAGTTAGTGGTAAGATTGCAAAGCAGGTCCATCATCGCCGATATCACCAAGATAAATCGAGCATGAGCACTTTCATGGACATCATCTATGTCAATACCTACGCTGCAGTCTGGTATCCGATCTCATTTCCTCTGGTATCGGATTAAATGTCACAGAAGCCGGACCTCCCGAGAAAATTTGATGGCAATGTTGTAAGTATTGGCTGGCATTCCAGACTTATTCTTGGTGGAGGCCTTAGGTATGGCATCTGCCGACCAGAGCTTAGAGAAATATTACATTGCGACGCCCACATCAAACGAGAGCTGCGAGATTGACACTCTTGCAATCCCGCAAACGCCTCTGGAAATCATTCCAGTGACAGAGTTGCGACACTATCTCGAGACGGCTTGTTTTTACCATCTGACCAACGCGACGGCGTCATCTCAGCTATGAGCTCCACCGCCACACGCCAACCCTCCCCTGCCGGCGCTAACCTCTCTCACCACAGCGGCGGGTGGGCCGCCGTCGCTTCCTGTGTGTGCATAGCGGGCGGCGGCCGGCGCACGGCGGGCCGTGCGGCGGCGGCACCTGGCGCCGGGCTCTCCCGGCCCAGACGGCGGCTCCCCAGACGGCCGGCGGCGCCGTGCACAGCCGCTGCACCGTGCACGGCGCGGCCTGCTTTTAGTCCAGTCACTGGTGTAAACTGGACCGGCGTCATTTGAGCCGCCGCCGAGTATACATCGTTAATGACGAGCCCATTCATCGTGCGCCTGGACTGCTCTGAGGTCTGCGCGGTCGGCGCGGTCAGCGCGTGGCGCGCAGCGCGCTGTGGCCCGACAGACGGCGGAACAAACTGCCAGGGAATGACGCGGACGAGTCCTGAAGGTCGTCAACATGTAGCCAGGCGTCTTGCTAAGAGCATTCTATACGCCATCGCTTCATGAGTAACCGATATCTCCCGCCAGGACAAGGCATCCCCTCATGGGTAGCGGGAATCTCTCACAAATACACAGACGCAGCACTGCTCAACATCGGTCCGAGCCCCACGTATCGTGCCGGGCACTGATGTCAGATAGCCAAACAAGGCCGTTGGCGCGGGCGGACCGAGTGCGATGGCAACTAACAGTCAGAAGTCGGTATGTAAAGAGGCTGATAACCAGCAGGGTTGAGTGGTTAGGGATGCAATATTCCCCCAGCAACATCCACAACAGACAACAAGACAACGGGCTGATACGAAGCTCTCGAGTCGCTGCAGCACCACTGCATGAGACATGGCAAGCTCTGGCCTCTAACCCGGCATGAATATCATCAGCTGGCACAGGGTCTACATCGTAGGCATTTCGGATTGCAGTGAGACACATTTTTCACGATATATTTGTGAAACGTTTCGCGTGCTAAACCGTGTGAAGCTCCAGGTCACGTCCAGTGGGACTGGACTTCGGAATCCATCTCAGACCCAAGGCGCACGCATAGGTGCCACCGCCTCACTCGGGAGGCAGATCAGCAGAAGTGGCTCGGATCCTCGGCCCACCCCGCGCAGAACAATCGGGCGGATCATCGCCCCCGGGGAGAGCGATGGGAGCGCCGGCCCGCGGCAGAGTGACGGGAGCGCCGCCCCCGCCGACGGGCGCGGCTTTATCGGCACTCGTCCGTCGGTCGCGGCAGTCCAGTGGCATTTACACCTCCCGACGGCACTGGAGTCAATGGTGAGCGGAGATTTACTCCGCCGCTCGGTGTAAGCCAGCCCATACCCCAAATGGCCGCTAACGAAAGACCGTAAACCAGCGCACAGCCAAATATGGTGTTACAAACGGCAACAGATTCCAAGTGAGCTGTCATCATGCATCGGTCTTTAAAGGAGAACAAATGGGGAGGCGAGAGAGGCATGCTGAACACATGAGGCAGCGAGCGACGGTTGATGATGTGCTGACAAGAAGTGATGGCCCACTTGACCCGGTCAGCCGCGGGTGTCTAGCGCTCCAGCTGGATGACCTGCAGCCTCTGCAGCTGCCCAGGGATGGCCAGCGAGCGATTCTGCAACTTATGACCTTATGGGACATGGCGCGACAAGAGCGTCGTAATCCCACATTTTAATCAAGTTGTCATATTACCTCTTATATTCGCAAATATAAAGACAGTTTCAAAGTGATCGAGCATTCGTGAAGGAGCGATCACACCGGACGATTTCACAGCACGGTGTTTGGGTTTAAGAATGTCCCGCAGTGATTTCCGACCCCATAAGGCCAGATGTCCGGCGTTGTCGTCGCCGATCGCCCGCGCGGCCACCTGCAGTCACCGCCTGCTGCGCTCCAGCGGCGACGTTTATTAGTGTTAGCATGCTTAACTGTGTTATGACGACCTGTCAGCCGTCGCTTATCTTTCCAGAAGCTGAAATGAGGCCGCCCCTACCGGAGCGGTCCTTCTGGAGCACTGGACAGGGCGGCATACATCCGCCGACGTGCTGCGTCCTGCGCCGGCCGGATAGTTTTACAAGTGGCCATGACCGGCCTTTCAGGGCACATGTGGGGTGACACCAGTCGTCCCTCGGCACAGCCGATACCTACACCGGTCCTGGTCAGCAGTCTCTGATCTGTCCTCCGGGTCCGTTATCTAATCTTCACAGATGTAACAACTGACCAGTTTCTTAATCTACAAAACACAAATTTAGATAAATTTAGATGTTAGTTGCGAATTTTGCAAAGTACGGGAAAATGACGTTCAAATAAGCCCGTTTCAACAGTAACGAATAAATAAGCATGGTAGATAATTAATTCATTATAACATGGAAGGAAAGGGTAGAAACAACCCGCGAAATTACTTATCCATGAAATGCAATAAGAAATATGGAGAGAAATATAGTTGCAAGTCTTCATAGAGGCACGTGAGACGTGACTGAAGGCCTATACCTATATCTTAGCAGTTAGCTCGACTTCAATGGATACTGGATAGCCCAGCAGGTAATCGACCCTGTAAGATTAAGCGTGCTTCTCAACTCTACAACGTCCGAGACAGACCAGCCTAAAACGCCGTCATCTACCCACATATCACTGACCACCGGTCTCCTGAGCTGCTGGTCTGACTCTGTCTTCAAGCTGCTTATCATATTCGTTCCTCAGCTGCAGGTCTAGCTCAGTCCCCAAGCTTCTAGTCCCCGTCTTTCCCTTCAGCTGCAGATCTAGCTCAGTCCCCAAGCTTCTAGTCCCCGTCTTTTCTTCACCCGCTGGTCTCGCTCTGTGTCCCCATTGAGCTCTAACGCTAGCCAGGTCGGTCGGCCGGCGACTTCAGCTGGCCGGGGACGGTAACACCCCAGTTCGGTCCGCCGGTCGCCGCTCCGTCGGCGTCGACCGACACCGGAATCGGACACCGCCGCCGCCGCCCCGGGGTGACCCTGGGGTGACCGGGGGTGCCAGGGGGTGCGATCCCCCCTCCGGGCCAACTGCGCCCGCGACCGTGGCAGAGCAAGGGGTCGACGACCGTGACACATAGGGGGGTTTGCAACACAATGAAACGGCGACACAGCGATGTAGAAATCAGCAAAAGATACCGACGTCCTGAAGAGAATGACATTGAGATAACCGGAGAGGGCACAAGATTTGAAGGGTCGAGTGCGATTGTGTAAGACTATCGAGGGGTGACTGACCGCTGTCAAAGTGGAGAGGTGCCCTTCGGTACCTGATGAGGTCCCAATTTTGGTAAGCGTAGGCTCAGAAAGCTGTCGGGAGTGTTGCTGTGATGTGGTGACATGGGACTGACCTGGGGCGTCCGAGCAGCGAGCGCCAGGCCGGCGGCCAGCAGCAGCAGAAGCGGCCGCACCATGGCCGCACCGGAGAGGAGCTCTCGTCAGGCGGAGCGTCTCTGAAGAGCAGCAGAACAGTGCAGTCTGAACAGTAGTCGGCAGCGGCGCGGCGCGCTGCCCGCCCTCTCACTGTCGGCCGCGGACTGCTGCGGACTGCCGCCGCCCCCGCCTTCCTCCTCCGGGCGCCGCCGCGCTCAGCGCCATCTGCCGGGCCGATTCTGCGGCGCGCACGGGCCCGCCGGAACAGCTGCAGACGTGACCTGTCACGGCGGCCGTGTCACGGGGCGGTCACGGGTCGCGGGCCGCCGCCGGCGCCGTGTCCCGGCCGCTGATGACGCCGGGGACGCCGCGGGCGCGCCGTTGCCGGGCGGCCGGCACCCCGCCGCCGGGCCGGCCGAGCGGCGCCGACATTAGCTGGCCGATCGATGCGGACCGCCGAAATTCCGGGTCTGGCCCGGGCCAGCGGCGGGCGAGACGGAGGCGAGAGGCCCGGCCGCCCGTCCTCCCCGCCCCGCCGCCGACGCTCCCCACCGAGCCGCCTCCGGGTCGAAGCTGCCGGCCAGATCGCTGGCGACCTCACCGACGGCTTAGCACTCTGATTCATATCAACAATAAGTTTGATCTTTTGTGCAATTCTTATTGATTGAAGACAACTTACGAATATTAGTGGTGCATTACCAGAAAACCTTCAATGCTGCCTAACGTTAACCTTATCAAGAGTTATTCTGTGTTGGACACTTCTTACTAAGACAAGTGCCCTCAGCGGTGTGATGCGCTATGCTCGTGCATGTGCACCCATGGATCTAACTAGCCAATTGGATATTTGATGAACCAGTACAATGACATGGTGTAGGAAAGTGTGTATCAAACTCTTTGGGATCCAGGGGGTAGCATTTAGGGCAAATGCTATCCCCCGACGCAGTGTCCTAAATCGATAAAAACTTATTTTCCTCAAATAAAAAGAACATTGATCAGCTTTCGAATCGAAAAAGTGTGTTTTGAATTGCACACCGACGAGTAGGGAAGCGGAAACCAAGGAACTTCTTTAGGTTATGCTTTCTTTCCCGCAGCGTCCAAGACCACGATTCTAGATCCACCATTGTATCAAATATTATCTTTATATTTGGACTTTGGACGCATGAATATTGACAACGATCCATAGACCTGGGAAAGGGAGAAGAACATTTTCCGAGTCCATAGGAATGCCTACGGTTTTAAAAACTTAGATATATGTCTATGCTTGCTTCATTATTGACAGTTCACAGTACACACACTTGTCAACCACCGAACTTTCCAACCACGGCATACGGTATTTTGGAAGTGTATTTATGCATAACACGTTTTCTAATCTCGTTCAGGCGTACAGGTCTCACGGGTTTTAGTTTAGCGGTAGGTTTTGCACTAGAAAATCTGGTGTACCTACTTCAGGCTATATCTTCGTCGTCTTAAACTTTTAACCCGCGCCCAGATGGGGTCTGCCGAGCAACGCGGTCTGATGGGGGGGCCATTTTGGCCCCCCCTCAGATCTCGAGAACCACGCAACATAGCGACAAGCGGTAAACGGTGTTGGATAGCCCCAGCGGGGAACTACCTTGTGACCCAATTTCATTGACCTCGGTCAAACCGATGACGTCACAGGTCAGGTCAAAGGTCGAATTTTCACCGTTTACAGGCATTTCAAGAAATGCGTTGTAAAATCGAGTAAAATGCATTTCATTGAAAATCATCGATGGAGAAATGTTCTTCAAACACATATTTTGCTATTTGAGGTCACTGATACCAGGTCAGGTCACAGAGGTCAGGTCACTGGGGGGGGGGGGTCACAATATGAAAGTGTCGTGTGATACATGTTTTATGGTCCATTTTACATGACAAATGCGATTATGTGGGTCAGACAGACTTTAGGGCCGGCTTAGGTCACGTTTTGGTCAAGGTCAGGTCAAGGTCAGGTCAAGGTCAGGTCAAATTAGATCAAATTTCAAAGTTGATATTTTTGCATAAAATGGGTATCGATTCGATGCAGCTCGTCACGGGGAGTTCAAGGGGAGTTCAATGGTGGTCTCCGTTTTGCGCTACGAGGTCTAGAATTGATAAAAGTTGAGTTCAAAAATTTGACGTCATCAATTTTTAACAGTTTTTTTCGCTATAACTTGGCCAAAAAAGAGGTATCGATCTAAAATTTGGTATGTATATCGAAGAGCGCAGGGACTATCACATATATTCCGGTTTTTTCGAAATTCGAAAAATTTTTGGGAATTTTTTGAGTTTTTCTAAAAAAAATCATTTTTTTTATTTTTGGGGGTCAAAATCCCAAAATTTCGAAAATCCGAGATAGCAGTTTTGTAGCGCCGTCTTTTCTCTACACAACCACATAAAGAACTTTAAAATTGCTTGTTAACTGTAGAATTGGTGAGCGTTTCAAGATGTCATGTTTTTTGCTCATTTTTGCTCGAACATGACCTCAGTTTGCCCTCAATAACTCCTGACCTGAGGTGACCTGTGACTTGAAATTTTGTGTGAAGGTGTCAAATTGATGCCCGGTAAGGTACCCAAAATTTGGCGGCGCTGCGCGCCGCCGTTTTCTCGCTATTTAAGAAAAACCACAGGGGGGGGCCAAAATGGCCCCCCCCCCATCAGGGCGCGGGTTAAGTGTTGAAGATGCGATCGACTTGTTGGTTCACAAGCCGGCCATGATCGTGTAAAATGGCTTCATCGTAGATCGATTAGTTTCGAGATATAACCGGAAATGTAAAAGCACAAAACCTACCGCTTAACCTTCGCCCCAGTGGGGGGGGCATACTTACCACCCTGTCGCGTTTTTTGCGTATAAATAAAAAACCGCGGCGCGTAGCGCCGCGCCGCTTCGGGTAGCTTTTGGTACATCAATTTTGGACAATGTGTGAAATTTTTGACCCCAGGTCATGTCAGGTCAGGTCACCAGGTCAAGTTAACTGACCAAGCCTAAAAAAAGTTTGCAATCATGTCCAGCCTGCAGTGTTTGTCAGAAAGGTTTTAAACTTAGTGGATTGTATGATGTTATGGGCGCCTACAATTTGTATATCTCGGATTTTTTATATCCGTGACCTAAGGTCAGGTCAGTGGCGTGACCTTTCCATTACAAGTCAATGGAGAAAAATGAAAATGCCTCTAGATCCGTGTGTACGCATAGGAAAAGTCCAAATATTTCAGAATCACAATGATTTGGACCACCCGTGATGACCAAGGTGTCATTTTTGCTGATAGCCTCTAGAAAGATCATCCGAGGTCATTTGAGGCTACAAACAGATTTTTGCCAATAACTCGCGATTGGAAAGAGAGAGAACGCTGGGGATGGTCTCATTGTGTTTTTCTTGCCGAGACGCATCGACTGATATGCAACATGACCTTTTCCGGTCAGGTCATGACCTTGACCTGAGGTCAAATTTTCAAGTTGACCTTTCAAGGTCAAATTATAGTTCATTCGACGCGTCTCGGCGAGAGGAACACGATTCTGGCAATAGAAATGTCGTGGCTTTTTGTTGTCGAAAGTTATTGTCGAAAAACTCTTTGTAAAAACAGCTATTTTTGGAGTTTTTGCCCTCTGGAGGCTAAACCCGTGACCTGAGGTCAATTTTGATAATGATCTTTTCAAAAGAATAGTTCAAGAGCTATCGATTGCTTTCCCATGCGTTTTTCTAGCTACCATAGTTCCGGAGATAACGGCATGTTTTCTGAAAAATATAATGACAATTCGCAAATTTTGACCTTTGATGACCTCTGGTGACCCCAATATTGCTCTAAGATGAAAAATGACTGAAATCATCATCATCATCATCATCATCATTTATTTAGCATCGCATTGTGCGACGTACGCAAATACTTTCAAACGTACGCATTGAGAGCTATCGACTGCTTTTTACCGCGTCTTTCTAGCCCTCTTAGTTTTTGGGTTAGAGGTGGGTGGTAACATTTGCCCCCCCCCCCCCCCACCACTAGGGCGAAGTTGGCCGAGACCGCCACTGGGGCGCGGGTTAATCTCGCGAGAGCCGTACATTATGTAAAAGTGCAAAAGCTACCGCTTAATCTCGCGTGAGAGCCGTACATTACATAGCTATATAAGTAAGACCAACGCACTTGTGTCAAGGCGCGTCAACTGATATAGGTGCTTTCTGTTTGATCACGGTCAAGATTATATTATATTATATCTTATGTTAGTGATTATGATCTAAATATGATACATTTAGGACGTTTCGAGTTTCGACAGCAATTTACCTTTGTCAGCAACTGCAGATACAAAATGCAAAGTCACAAATCACAAAACAATTGTGGTTTCATTTTGAAATGAGATTGGAGACTTAAGGTAAGTACATTTTGTATTAGTTACTGACGATGGCGCATTGTTGTCGAAACGTTTAAAATATATCAGTCTTATATTTTGCTTATTATGTTTTATTTGTAACTCTTGGTCATCAGATTTAATACATCAGGCATCATTTGGCTCTAAACGTTCATTTCGAGCCTCAGAGAATAGCGAAAATGGCTGAAGTAAAATAGCATATTTGAATCAGTGAAATGCCCTCTAGCAGGATACTAATTTACCTGACCTTGACCTCGGGGACTCCCTGCATCGTTACATAAACCACAAACAGGAATATCCTCGACTGCCCAGCCAGGGTATGGATTGGTCAGCGATAAAAGTGAAGTTACGAAAAAGTATTGTTAGCCTAATAGTGCCATTGGTACAAGGATTTAAACAACAGTCATTTAAGTTTGTGTTGTGTTGTTGGTGATCATACAGCCTGTCACATCAGTATAAACGCGTATTAACATAGTAAACGATATCGAGGTCGTCATTTTTTTTAGTTTTGTTCTCGTAAACTGGGTATGAAAAATAAAGGTTTTAAATTCATTCCATAGTGTTGTTAAAACGAAGAACACCAGATCATGCAAAAAGTGTTTCCGATTTCGACATTGTAAAGCTCTTTTACGCGTGTGTTCTGTGTTGAGTGTCGCCTGTGATATCGGTCGGGGTGTCGCCTGCGATCTCGTTGGGTGACGTCTGTCACCTCTGGTAGCCCACTCTGATCTGAGTGCGGCTGGCGCACTGTCTCCGCTCGCTGCCAGTCTCGATAAAGGCCGGAGCACAGGACACGGTGCCGCTGCAGGCT